AAAGTTCGATATCTAGAATTGATTACAGATTATCCGAATCATGACAAAAAATCTATTCTCATAAATGCCTTTGAATGCTATTTGCCATGTTTAATTTGTGCAATCCTATTGTTAAAATGGTCATCACAGCGAGAAGTTTCATGAGTCATACCTACCCTCGCCCCACCCCTTCCCTAGCCAACAATCGCGTCCACTATAAATTGAAAGAGCAAGAGGGCCGTTGCAAATCATCAAGAGGTTGGGGAAAAAGATGAGTTCATTTGATATTAAACTTGTTATACTGTCACTGAACTTGCTCTTCATCACCCTATCAGACGTAAAGGCACATGTGACTATTATAAGTAATGTGGAGAAAGGCACTCTTAAAATTCATTGTTATTCCAAAGACAATGATCTCGGAATCCACTATCTAGCCTACGACCAGTCTTTTGATATCAATTTCGTGCCAAGCTTTTGGGGTAATACCAAGTTTTACTGTGACTTCACCACTCAATTTGGTTAAGGAAACTATGCTGTCTACGATCGCCTAATGGAATCTAAAAGATGCGGTCTTAAATGTGTGTGGTACATAAATGAGAACGGGCCATGTTTAGTGCTAAACCCCTCGCTAAACCTGTGGTGTCAACCGTGGAGGCATGCAAGCAAACGGTTGCAGAAAACACATAAGAATTGAGTAGCTAAGTACAACATATCGTTGAATGCATTACCAGTTCAAGTGCTTTCTTCTTCTTCTTCTAATTGTTTTTCGCCTGAATAATGGTAAATATTTATGGAATAAAAGAGAATCACTTTTGTCTCTTGCACAAAGTTCGAAAAACATGAGTTCAAATGTAGAGGCCAACCGGCCCATGCCATGGAAGGTTAGAGGGCAGGTCGTTCTTTTCACGCGTAAGGCTATGTAAATGTGGGTGGTCCGATACATTTTGACACAGCAATTGCGCAACACACAGTGACACATTTTAGGGGAATAAAACAAAACTATTGCTATGCAATCCCTTAAAATCATTTAGATAACTAATAGTACATGGCCATTTCTACTTTTTACTTGCCCTTGTACCAAAGTTTAAATTTATATACTTTTTTAACTGGCCTGTTTGATATCCTTTTATTTCCATGGAAAATGGAATTTGAAGTCCATTTTCCTCAAATTATAGCGTTTGATCGCTAATATTTTCTTACCCAAATGTTTTCTACCCAGTCCCTTCGCGCGCCCAAGTTGACGGTAATTGAGGAAATCATTTTCTCCACATGCTGCTTCATATATATATTTTTTATTTTATTTTTTAGTAATGGAAACAAATTTCATAACCAAGTGTAAAAAAAAAAATTCACTTTCATGGACAATTTTGATGCAAACGAAGGCCAAACGAACACTAAACTTTGATGAAAAAATTGATTTTTAGGAAATATTTATTATTTTTTTTAACTTTTTGGGAATGGAAACAAATTTTATAACGAAGTGTGGAAAAAATTATCACTTTAATGGACAATTTTGATGCAAACGAAGGCAAAATTTAAAAATTTTTTCGATGGAAAATTATACCAATTAAACACACTTAATTAACAATTCCCTGGAAAACAATTTTTGACAATTACTTTCCTTGGAATTCATTTTCTTTCCACCCATTTTCCACCCTTGCAATCAAACGAACCCTAAGATATTGTACTCAATGTATTGAAGAATAACAAACCGCAGTATAAGGAATCCATAATCGAAGGACAAATGCATAATAAGTCAAAGAAAATGGGGNTTTCTTTCGTCCCGAAACGACCGAGAGAAAGCGGAATGTTTTTGAATTATAATCAAATTTTCATTTCAATATTCCTTCATAGATTATTTTCAAATGTTTTTGAATTTTTATATCCACAATGCTCCTATATTTCCTATAGTTCCATAATATTCTACAATTTTAAGAGTCCTAGTTGTGAATCTGGATCATAGAAATTACGGTGAAGTATATTGTTAGTCACTCAACTTACAACGAAATATTAGGTTAGTCTACCAACTTTATTTGATTTCAAAGTAGTGAGCAAACTCAATATCTATTAGTTTTTTTTATGGTATAGATGGTGTGGAAGATCTCATATACTATAAAACTTGCGGATTATAATTGAGTGATCAAACTTAAAACAAAAATGCAAAGTTCAATCGCCACTTCAAATTAAAATAAACTTTGATGCTTTCAATTGTAGAATTGAAGTAGTGAATCAGCACTAGCAAGTTGCAAATTGAAATTCGGTTGATGGTTTTGGTAAGAACCCTTATCTGAGGTAGTCTTTTTATTAATTATGATTGAATTGTCAACAGGTAGGTTGAACTAAATGCTTTGATTGCACTTAGTGAAGCAAGGATAAAGTTCGATATCTAGAATTGATTAGAGATTATCCGAATCATGACAAAAAATCTATTCTCATAAATGCCTTTGAATGCTATTTGCCATGTTTAATTTGTGCAATCCTATTGTTAAAATGGTCATCACAGCGAGAAGTTTCATGAGTGATACCTACCTTCGCCCCACCCCTTCCCTAGCCAACAATCGCGTCCACTATAAATTGAAAGAGCAAGAGGGCCGTTGCAAATCATCAAGAGGTTGGGGAAAAAAGATGAGTTCATTTGATATTAAACTTGTTATACTCTCACTGAACTTGCTCTTCATCACCCTATCGGAAGCAAAGGCACATGTGACTATTATAAGTAATGTGGAGAAAGGCACTCTTAAAATTCATTGTTATTCCAAAGACAATGATCTCGGAATCCACTATCTGGCCTACGACCAGTCTTTTGATATCAATTTCGTGCCAAACTTTTGGGGTAATACCAAGTTTTACTGTGACTTCACCACTCAATTTGGTTCAGGAAACTATGCTGTTTACGATCGCCTAATGGAATCTAAAAGATGCGGTCTTAAATGTGTGTGGTACATAAATGAGAACGGGCCATGTTTAGTGCTAAACCCCTCGCTAAACCTGTGGTGTCAACCGTGGAGGAATGCAAGCAAACGGTTGCAGAAAACACATAAGAATTGAGTAGCTAAGTACAACATATCGTTGAAGGCTTTACCAGTTCAAGTGCTTTCTTCTTCTTCTTCTTCTAATTGTTTTTGTCCTGAATAATAGTAAATATTTATGGAAAAAAAGAGAATCACTTTTGTCTCTTGCACAAAGTTCGAAAAACATGAGTTCAAATGTAGAGGCCAACCGGCCCATGCCATGGAAGGTTAGAGGGCAGGTAGTTCTTTTCACGCGTAAGGCTATGTAAATGTGGGTGGTCCGATACATTTTGACACAGCAATTGCGCAACACACAGTGACACATTTTAGGGGAATAAAACAAAACTATTGCTATGCAATCCCTTAAAATCTTTTAGATAACTAATAGTACATGGCCATTTCTACTTTTTACTTTGCCTTGTACCAAAGTTTAAATTTATATACTTTTTTAACTGGCCTGTTTGATATCCTTTTATTTCCATGGAAAATGGTTCCATTTTCCTCAAATTATAGCGTTCGATGGCTAATATTTTCTTACCCAAATGTTTTCTACCCAGCCCCTTCGCGCGCCCAAGTTGACGGTAATTGAGGAAATCATTTTCTCCACCTGCTGCTTCATATATATATTTTTTATTTTATTTTTTAGTAATGGAAACGAATTTCATAACCAAGTGTAAAAAAAAAAAATTCACTTTCATGGACAATTTTGATGCAAACGATGGCCAAACGAACACTAAACTTTGATGAAAAAATTGATTTTTTAGGAAATATATATATATATTTTTTTTAACTTTTTCGGAATGAAAACAAATTTTATAACGAAGTGTGGAAAAAATTATCACTTTAATGGACAATTTTGATGCAAACGAAGGCAAAATTTAAAAATTTTTCGGATGGAAAATTATACCAATCAAACACACTTAATTAACAATTTTCTGGAAAACAATTTTTGGCAATTACTTTCCTTGGAATTCATTTTCTTTCCACCCATTTTCCACCCCTTGCAATCAAACGAACCCTAAA